AGAAAACCTTCAATGAATTATGTCATGTTTCTCGATCTTTCGATAAGGAACGAAATACCTACAGGCGTTGCTTACGTATACTCGCGCATGAAAAATATATAAACTGATTATGCAACGTTATTTGTAACGTCATTCACATGGTGTGACGTCATACACATAATCGAGGCTATTTCTCCAGATATATAAAGCTCTGGGGTTGACATCCCTGAAATTATGCACAAAAAACGCCATCCTTAAAACCTAAAATATAACTAATTTCGTTTAAAAACTGAGCTATTTTGTGTCTGTTTAAAAAATATTACGCATTATTGATAAATGCCTATTTCCAATAAAAACAATTAGCTAAAAAAAGAAAGCAACAACGTCTCCAATGTCTGCCATCTTGGAAACCACTGGAACCTGGGCCGAGCCACAGGAAACCCATCACTATAAATGAATTTCATATAAACAAAATGGCGTTGCGCGCATGTATGGCGTTGTTTTGTTACAAAATGATACTTTAGCACTTTGTATGATGATAGAAAAAGGGAAAAAAGACAATACTCAAGCCAGACGCAAGATAGATAACATATAATATTGATTTTTTGACAAATTATGCAGGATTATGCGGAGAATGGCCAATTATGCGGGTCCGCATCAGCGCATAATTCCAGTATCCCTGTATTTACCTCAAATCACACCAAATCACACTATTTTCAATGTCTCGCACTTTTCATGGATTTTCGCACTTTTAAGCTTAATTTCATTAGTAAACAAATAAAATTGCTCTGAAATAATAAGAAGATGTACTATTTTACCTTTTTTGTGGCAAAATTAAATGATAATTGTATCTTTTATAGCGCTTGAATTGCTTGCAATCTCGAAGTAAATATGCAAAGAAAAAAAACACCCAGGCGTTCCGCGCATGGAATATTTAGACACTGGGTACTAACAGGAGCCCATTACTAGCTAGTAATGGGACTAGCTAGTAATGGGCTCCTGGTACTAATTATTTACGCATGGATCGATAGAGTGGATAAAGTTACCACTCGTTTATTTTTGTTTGTGTTTTATCCACTTCATAAGGATTTATCCACTGGATAGCGCTATTCAAGCTTCGTAAAAACAAACACTGTATTATTTTTTTTAAAAAGGGAAAAACTTAAAAAGTAACATATGTTAGCTATTTTTAAAAAAATCAAACGTAACTTCTTTACGCCCCCCCCAAAAAAAACAAAAAAAAAACAAACAGAAATATGTTTGCTTTAAACAGGAGAATGCCATTAAAAGGAAATAAATTGTGGCATTTTAATATTCACTATTTTTGGTTAAATAAAGCGAAAAAACAACGCCAAGTTCACCCAAAAATTAATTTATGCAAATTTAGTCTCTCCGCACTTTTTCGCACTATTTTAGAAAAAATCGCACTATTTTCAATTTTTTCCGCACTCTACCAGATTCACTGTTTTGATAATAAACYTTGCAAACAGTTAAGTAATGCCCTGAGTAAGAACTCTAGGRAAGCAAACAGCAAAGGAATGCAAGAAGGTGCTATAAATTGCGCATTGTATAATCCATCCATCCYATTGGTTAAAACATGAAAATCTCCTATAATTGCACAAGTTAGCGAATTTTCTAATATTTTATTTAATGACKGTTTTTGCTTTCATGAAAGCTTTCTTTAGCTTTGAACATTGCAAATTAGAAGCATCTTTTGGCTATTGTTTTGAGTGCTTATGATCGGATAARAGCTTTTAATACAAGAGAAACTTTGTTTCAAAATAGAGTTTATCCACATTTTATTTCAAAAATGTGTTACCAACAGGTTAGTACATAATCAGTGTGAAAACCAAGACATTCGTACATGGGGAAGTTGCAATGCCGCAGAACAATAGAGAGTTCCAAGGACCGCGGAGCGTAAATTTGTTTGGGGGGGCTAGCGGCGAGGAGGTGGTATTAGGGAAGTTCGGAAATTTTTGAAATCTTAACTCTCGGAAATGTCATTTCCAGCGTTTTGAGGCGTTATCAATTTTTACCGCACACACGGTCAGCGATATTCTCAATAAATCCCAAAAAAGCTTGAATTTTAATTGTTCACGCTCAGTTTTTACACAATTTTTATAGAATATATATGATGAAATTTCATAAGGAGGCTCTTCGCTTCTTTATTTAAGAAAATTCAAAATGTCGGAAAAATTATTGGGTGGGCTGTAGCCCCCAAGCCCCCCCTGCTCCGCGGTCCATGAGTTCCCTAGTTCTTAAGCGCATTGTTACTTAAAGTTAATAGATTTGCGAACTTTTTTTTATAAGTATTTAAATTAATGGGTACTGACAAAAAAGTTCKCAAATTACGGAAGTTAATAAATAGTTTGCGAACTTTTTTTTACTAGTATAACGTTGAGTAGTAGTACATTAAAAGCTTTCGTGATCAATCGAATCTATTTTAACGCTTCAATTACAGTGGTATCCTATCGTATAGGAAATCGCACAACCTTCAGCACAATTTGGAATATAGTCGTCATGAGTAATGTTTTGAAAGTTCTTCGTAACTGCACGAGCCCGATAGGTCGATGCTTTTTAATTAGTTAGAGTCGAAAGTTTGCAAAAAAAACTACAGTTCTTTCATGACGATTTTTGTACATAAAGAGTACAATTATAAACGCTGTAATTGTACCCCTTTCGATCAATGAAAATTGTTGAATGTACTATACTAAAAAGTAAAATATCCTCCTCACTTAATCTTACGTAACTAACTTAAGTTAACTTAAGCTTACTTACTGAGCTCCCGACTTTGACAACAAGTCGGCCCATTCGTCAGGATTGAAAAACTCTGCTCGAAACATCGGTGCAAAGTCCGCATATTTAAACCCGGGACGGTAGTTATCTTTCATAAATTCAATAGCAGCTCGGTTATTCTGATGCCAATACCACCAGAACCACTCTGAAGCACCTCCTGCTCCATACGAAGGTACAGAATAAACTCCCCAGTGCATGAAAATACCGAATTTTGCTTCGTCATACCAGGAAGGAATCGGACGGCTATCAATTGAAGCCCATGTTGGTTCGTATTTGTTAGGTTTTACTTCGCCAAAATGGCAGAAAAGTGATAAAATGAAGATCGCCAGAAACTCCATGAATGCTTTGAGTCAGGCGGCTACCTCGTGACTAAAGTCATCTCAGCGTGAGCTCTGGATAGACACAGGCAGCCCAACTAATTTTTTTTATGAAATCGAAAAATGGTCAAAAATGGAGAAGAAACACAGAGCTAGACCAACACGTAATAGTTTTTTTCAAATCAAAATTCCAAGATTTACATTTTGTTYGTTAGTTAGGAGATTTAATTAGTTAACTTAGTTTATAACATCGAGAAGATTTTGTGATGCTCGATTAGTAGCACACACAGCTCACCCGCTAGTCTCCTTCGCATCCGTTTCCGGTGTCAAAACGCTACGGATGCGAAGGAGACTACTCACCCCCCACCCCGCAAAAGTTTTTTGTTTTTTTGGTTTGTTCCTAAAAAGATGAAGTTCACAAAGACTTCTTAATATACAGAACAAAGAACTTAGTGAGCTTATTAGAAAGAATGAGGGGTCAGTTCAATTACAATTATTCACTTTGGTCTTGTGCTTTTGTCCCGGGGGGACTCCCTCATAAAAAGGGGGAGTCCTCATCATCCCTTTAAGGGTTTGAAATCAGAGTTTTGGTCCCGCTTAGGGTGATAATGACAAGAATTCCCACAAACTAAGTTTTGTGGTCCCTTTTAGGGTGTACGACAACCCTAGGCCGTCATTTCAAGATCAAGAACAACCACAACTGCTATATTAGATGGTTGATTTTTTTTATTGATTGATTTATCTTCGGGGTGAAATTTCAGCACTGCCACACACATCATGTCGCAACTGACAGGTCCCTTTTAGGGCTCATTTTCAGAATTTGTGACAAGGACTCCCACCCCTTTTATGAGGGATTCCTCCCCCCCCCCAAAAAAAAAGCTGAAAGTTTGTAAATTCCATTTCAAGCAGAGATGTGAATTTTCAAAACATAAAAAATTACAGAGAAATGTATGGCTGGGGTGAGTGCATGCCAAAAGCATGAAACAATTCTTTTAAAATCAACAACAAAATCAATCAACAGCTAATATGATTCAGTTATTGCAGCTAACTAAGAATTCACTGGGATATGAGCACAACGCCAAAAAGGAAGTTGTTTTTGCCTCACTGAATTCTTAGAATTACATATTAACTAAATCTTATTGGGTGCTTTAATTTAGTTAAGAATTGTTACAAACTCATGCAGCACCTCTTTCTTCACACACCATCCATACTTGGAACTTCTTACTCTGCTCTGTTACTACCCCAAGAAATTGCAGTTTAATTTCTTCTCTGCAGGCGCCTGGCCTGATCTGCATTTACTACAACACATCTGATGCAAAACCAACCAACCTGAATTAGCTAATAAATGGGGTGCGGCATGATGACTGGTTAAACCACGCCCTTGCTATRTAGGGACGGTCCAGTCTCAGCTCACTATCACATGATTGGAAAATGCTTGAACTGCTTCATTTTTTTTCGAGTAATTATGTATTATAAGTGTTTCAGAAAATGAAATATTTTTTTAAGTCAAGGTATTAAATTTTTGTTTACAAAGAGTTTATTGTGGTTTTACTCACTTTAATAAAAACGAATGCTAAATTACTTACTGAGCTCCTGACTTTTCCAACAAGTCGGCCCATTCATCAGGATTAAAAAACTCTGCTCGAAACATTGGAGCAAAGTCCGCATATTTAAACCCAGGACGGTAGTTATCATTTATGAATTCACTAATAGCTGTATTATTCTGATTCCAATACCACCAAAGCCATGATGCAGCCAAAYTTCCTGCACCATACGAAGGTACAGAATAAACTCCCCAGTGCATGAAAATTCCGAATTTTGCTTCGTCATACCAGGAAGGAATCGGACGACTATCAAGTGAAGGCCATGTTGGTTCGTATTGCTTTGGTTTGTCACAATTTACTTCATCTAAATGGAAGAGAATGGGAAGAAGTGATATGACCATTGAACACCACATTGCGTGGCACTGGAACTGCGTGACAAATTGCTTGTGGATGATGAGCACTGCTTAGACTATTAATAGGACTTCCTTATCACAAGAGGTTCTCATGATCAAATTTGAATATACAAATCGCACAAAATTCAATTAGTTGTTGGTTCCCTAGAAAAACAACAACGCATTTCTTATAAAAGAAATGGTCTCCCTGTGGTCTTTGCTCATATCCCATAATGCAAAGCATGTGGGTTGAGAAGTTGATCGGTTTCTTGAAACATGAAGGAAGTTGATAAGGTACGTTTTCAGGGTCTTATCTAAACCCAAAGTTTTAATGGTATCGACAGATTATTTTGCTAGTATGACGGAAAGGTAATGATTTAAAAGTCTGTCTCATATCTATTGCATTGAAGSTTTTTAAAATCAATGAGACATTTGAAACGAATGTAAGCGAACGACCACACTTTCATGTGACATGCCTAGTTTTGCAGTTAGTTGAATCAAAGTTTTTAATGGTACCATTGATATCTGCTTATGTCATCATATGYAATGTATGTAATCATATATATTATTTATCTATCAAAGGATTAACACAGCCTAGAGGCGGAGTTCTCAGCAACCGCTTACCAAAATGGATAACATGTAAGCTTTTTAAATAAGTTTGTGTGTAGTTCATGTTAGCTCACATGTAAGTTGTAGTCGTGAYAGCTAAGTTATTGAATGAAGTTCTTRATTGGTTGTTTGGCTTGTTTGCCAATTATTACTGTGTAAATTCATTGACTATATTACTGTATGTACTTGAAAGTGTCTGTCTATAGCAATAAGCTGTAGCCTAGTTACTAAAATCCTGCATTATAAGGTATACAAAGCTCTACATATACTTGAAACCAAGGATGCTGGTTTGCTGTACACTAGAGTGCAGTGCATATATAAATTTGCCTGGATAAATTTGTGATTCATTAAAAAGGAACTGACACAATTTTTGCAAGGCTTAGTTCACATATAAAACCAGCACCCCATAAAAACATTAYTAGAATGAAATATTTGCTGAAATCTTTCATTTTCATCATACATAAAAAATTAAGCTTTGGTACTAACAGAAGTCAAAATTTATTGTAGAAAATTTGGAGGTGGAATTAAAAATTATTCCCAAGTTCAGGGAAAAGTCAATGAAATCTGAATTAATGAGGGAAATTTAGAATTTTGTCAGAGAAATATTTAAAGTTATCTATTAGTCAGAGAATCTTGTAATGATCTTCCTCAAATATGATTATTAACTCTTAAGTGGTTCGGCGACAAACAATATCCATTGTACATAAGACTTGTTTATTGGAACAAAGGTAAGAGGGAATCCTGTCATCAATCTCTTACCCTTTTTACAGAGGCTTGTCTTTTATTCTTTTGCTTTCTACGTTACATGTATGTTGTGGAGCTGCAAAGCGGCGAGACCTTTCCATTAATTGGTTTGTTTTTACAGCAAGCCTCTGATATAAAGCATAGGCAATCTCACTTTCATGCTGTGTTTTAGTGAACCAATCATGGATCGGAGTAATATAATCTGTTATCTGTATTGATCTTGGTGTCATTTATTTTTAGATCCATTTGCAGTGTTTGTGAAATCCATTTCATACAGTGTAAATTCACTTTTCATTGTACATGAACATGATRATTATTTCAATATTGTGCAATATCATCTGATTTGTATTCAATATGGGAGATTTTCTGTTGTGAAAGAAATGGGCCTCTTATGCAGTATTATGTTAATATCAAAGTAATGTCTCATTTAGTTTCTATCTCTTTTAGGAAACGAGCAACTGCAGAGCAGTTGATCAAGAATTATTTTTACCAGCTCACCAATGGTTGTGGGATGACAGACTGCAACAATGAGAATTGTGCATCAAATGGACGACTGAAACTTAGTAGTAATGATGCAGCTGCTCTTGCATTAAAGCTMTTTCATGAGAAGGCTCAGCTATGCATTCACAGGGGTTTGTATCAAAAGTACCCATATATATTATTTTTTGTATAACAAATAGAAAACATTGCAGCATGCATCAAAATTCTTATGGCCAAATGAGACTTACACAATCATTTAATAAATTAATTCAAAACTGATGGTAAAATACATGTACAGTATTGAGGCACATACCCTYACAATATCAACACTGTGACATAACTGCTATTGTCAGTTGCAGTTCATGTGTATTATAAATTATATCAGCCATTTCTTATAAACCTTTAACTAAAAATTTCTTTCAGGATGTTTTTTCACTGAAACATTACTTCTATCTACAATCAAATCTTGCAAGGATGTAGGAAGCTACAAAGAACTTGTACACAGCATTGGTAAAGTGTTTTCCGATCCAAAGTCCTTGAACAAGAGTTTCTTGCTGAGTGAACCAAAAAAGTTGGATGGTGCAACCCTTTTTGTAGATGTTGAAGCCATGAAAAGAATATATGCTGCTTTATATGAGATTGGTGATTCTTCAATAGAAAATGCATTGATTAATTCAGTGGAAACACTTTCAACAGCTGTTGAAATGGAACTGCTTTACAAAAATCCTAATTGTAAAGATCCTCAATATCTCAATCAGTTTATTTTAATCTTTGTAAATAGCATGCTTCAGAGTCCTGAATACTTAGAAAGGGCTCTGCCAAGATTTTTGAAAGCCCTGTGTCAGTTGCCAGTCTCAGCCCAGGCACAGCTAGTGAGAATATGGTGTACGTTTCCAGTGGAGGACATTCGTCATATGGTGGAAACATTACAGCAATTAATTACCTATCGAGTGCTGACAGGTCCCTCAGCAGTTGATCATGTACCAGTTCATGATGACGATGTGATAGTCAACAGTGCCAAAACTATGAAATTATTATATTTTGTAAGCATTATTGAAGGTCATAAAAGAAATCCTGTAGAGTTGTCTGACCATCAAAATGATACCATGGACTCTGTAGCAGCAAATACTTCATTCTTCCAAGATCCATTGGTCCGAGAATTAAAGCTTAAATCTTCTGACTGTCATCAGCCACTTCTGAGTTATGATGAATTTGTCAATGAACCTCTAAATGATCAAATAGAAGTTGACCGGGACTACACCCACTTTAAAAGTGACCACCAGCATAAATTCTCATTTCTTAATCACACATTTTTACTTAGTACRGCGACTAAAGGATTAGGATTGTTTTACGATAACAGAGTTAGGATGTACAGTGAGAGAAGGCTGACAATGTTATACAGTCTTGTTCATGGACATCAACATGCTCCTTTTCTCCGTCTCAAGGTCAGGAGGGATAACTTGATAGGTGATGCACTGGTCAGGGTAAGCAATGTAAAAAAGTTTCTACTAAAAASGTTATGAGACTGTTGAATGTACACAACTTCACATACCACTCTCATGTCGACTCATTGTTAAAGTTCTGAAATTCWTTTGACACGCTGATTCAATCCTTGATGTTTGAAAATMTTGTCTAATTTGAGTAGCAAAATGTTCCAGATTTAAAATGTTACAGTACTTCCACAGCACTGAAGAAACATTTTAATCCACTTTTCTTTYGGCTTTTTGATCTCAAATTAAAATTGCAGCATATTTCAACTGTAAACAACAATTRGCTTGTCTTTTATTCTTTTGCTTACTATGTTGTTGAGASACAAAGGGACAAGATGTTTCTGTTGWTCAGTTTGTTTTATGCYTCTGGTTTCAAGCAAAATAGACAATCTCRCTTTCATGCTGTATTTTAGTATTAGCAATCCAGGATTGGAGTAAAATGATCTGTATTGACCTCTTATTGGTTTATATATTTTTTATGTTTGACAGCTCAACAACATACAGGTAGTAAGCAAAAAATAAAAGACAAGCCTCTTGAGCCAGGGTAGCCAGAATATGTTTAATAATKTTTGGTCTCCATGCAACAGCTTGGTGATTTTGAAGTAAAACCACAGTAAAACAAAACAAAATAAGAAACCTTTATGTATTGTTCCAATGCATACAAAAACATGTACATGTGGCACAGGTGGTCTAGTAGTTAAGCTGCTGGCCTCTCACCACTGTGGTCCGGGTTCGATTCCCGGGCACGGACCATATGTGAGTTTGAGTTTGTTTGATGTGTTGTTCTCTCCCTTGCCACAAGGGCTTTTCTCCGGGTACTCCAGTTTTCCTCCCTCAGTAAAAATCAACATGTGAGGAGTGTTGTGTGCTAAAATTCTTAATGTAGAGGTAGTGAGGGTGAGAGTACAGGGTCAGCAGTAATTGGCTCACGCTGTTGCGTTGTCCCTGCCCATACTAGGGACAAAACTAAATAAATAAATAAATACATGCATGCATGTATCTTCTAAATGGCCTATAAAACATTGATACATAGTCAGAAAAATTTAGCAGTTGAATTCTTTTTTTTATTTGAAAGATAGAGAAACTATTTTAAGGGTTAAGTGATTACATATGGTGTCTTATAAAAAGATGGCTAAAAGATGAAAAATTTACTTATTAATGAAATGATAACATTGAGGGCTASTGTATAGGTCATATATTATAACTTAGAGAAGTATTTCAAAAGAAGAAAACTACATATTATTAAGCTAGAAAATGTTATTCGAAGCAACTGTATTAATCTTGAGACATGTGAGGAGCAACATACATGTACATGTAGCTGAATAATCAATTACTAAATCAGAAAAGCTTTTTTATTAAAGAAGGCAATGAAAACAACTCTTGTTTTGAACAAACAAATAGGATGACACAGTGTCTTTCAATCCATGCATTTCACAGGATGAACAATCAGTGGTGGATCCATAATGTTACAAAGGGAAGTTGCTAACTCAAGAAAGAAATAATTAAATTGATTTAGCACTGGGSAAAATGGAATTACCCTCAAATGAATGGTGCTCTWAGTAAGATACCCTAATGACTGCCGTGGATCTGCCCCTGATTTATCTTCATGACAGACCGTCACTCCCAGGCAACAGTGCTCCCACTTGTATTAAAACCACTAAATATCACTAAAATTGGATTTGATTTTCTAATATGTCAAAATTAGTCAAATCAATGCRTGTGATATGTTCTGATAACAGTAAATGTTCATTTTAGCTTGAAATGTCTGCCCAGGATAATCCACTGGACTTAAAAAARCAGCTTGTTGTAGAATTTGAAGGTGAACAGGGTATAGATGAAGGAGGAGTATCCAAAGAATTCTTTCAGTTGGTTGTTGAGGAGATCTTCAATCCTGATTATGGTAAAGATAKAGCTACATTGTATCATTTTGTACTTGGTCTGCAATGCAATCAGCCTTCAGGAATCTAATCAAAACTGCACAAAATTATTAAATGTGCAATTTTCCTTTACTAAGATTTTAGAAAATATTGACCTTGAAAGGCTTTCACAGTAAAAAAAAATGTCAATATTATTTTTTGTGTACAGGTTATAAATSTCTCTACATTATATGTTCTAGGAATGTTYACTTATGATCCAGAGTCAAGGATTTGCTGGTTTAACCCAACTTCGTTTGAAAGTGATGCACAGTTTCGTCTCATTGGGCTTGTTGTTGGTTTGGCAATTTACAACAACATTATTCTGGATATCCACTTTCCAATGGTTGTGTATAGAAAGCTTTTTGGAAAAAATGGAATGTTCAAAGATCTTGCAGATTCTCATCCAGTAAGGCTAACTTTTAACTTGTATTAGGGACAAGRCCAAACCCTATACCAACTTAAGGGATAGTGAACAGTACCCACCCCTCCCTACAAAGACCAAACTCACACACTCTGGTCTCAAATATTATAAAGAAAAAGTGTCATGTAGCTGTGTGGTTTAATTTTAGGCAGTGTTAGATTACCCAATTGTCATGGCAGCCAAATCCAAAAAGAATATAAATTGACTTGGCCTTGTCCCTTATCTATTTGACAAAAAAGGCAACCCCCAACTTTTGGTCCAAAACATGTTGTCCTTCCTTATACATCTTTGATTCTTTTGCCACATTGCTGTATATTTTGTCCTTGTTTCCTCTCTCTTCTTTTTTTCTTCCTTAGTTTTTTCCTCATTTCCACATTAACAATAATTAGTTATTAATATTTTATAATTTATAGTCTTTGTACAAAAGCTTGAAAAACATGTTGGAATATCCAGGCAATGTGAAGGAAGATTTCATGTGCACATTTAAAATTGGCTACACTGATGTGTTTGGCTCTAGCTTATCTCATGACTTGAAGGAAAATGGAGGTGATATTCCAGTTACCAATGAAAACAAAGTGGTATGGACATTAACTTAACATATTATAACTAAAAATATATATTTTTTTACATATGAGTCACGATAATTCAGTTGTCAGACATACTGTAATAAAATATTATTTATCATTAATACTTCTACTGTACAAGTGCAAAAATGGCTCCATCTTGGGAACAACAAAACAATGTCTTCTACCTGTGGAGTGATAATATATTAAAACTGTTCACTGCATTTATACGTAATAATTTAAAAAAGGATGGATAAATAGCAAATGCCAATTGTTGAGCAGCGATTGCGCGCCTGAAAGTAGCCATGGGTTTTGTTAATTGAAGGGAAATAACAACTGATTTATACTGTCTATAAGATAGTCTGTGGTAAACATCGGTTCCATTTAGTCTCCATTTCTATGCAAGGTGAATCCAATAAGTAAGATTTTGTTTGTGAAAACAGTAACTATAGTTCCTTTCGGTCATGCAATCTCCCTTTGACAATCACTGTTCGCCATTCTCCCCGACAACATTTTTTTAAATAAGTGTATAAGAATTCTAAAATAAATAGTAGATAAAAGGAGTCAGGAAAAACCCTATGGAAAGGCATCCCTCAAATACRCCAACACATTTCCTCTCATATTCTTATTTCAGGAGTATGTCAACTTGTATGCTGATTTTATCTTGAACAAGTCAATAGAAAAACAGGTAAGCATAACACTGTCATTGTACAAGTTACTGCAATTGACTAAAAATTATTTTTTATCTTTTCACCTATCTATTCTGTCCACCCAGTTGTAATGACTCAATAAATGATTCACAGTGTATCTTCATTGCTCTTCTATGTAACTTTAAACCAATCATGTCCTTGAAAGCTCCCTTTTATGTATTATTTTGCTTTGTGGCCAGTCATGGCAAACATTTTGTAAGTTATATTTTGTTTCCTTCTCTGTAGTTCAATGCCTTCAAAACCGGTTTTGACATGGTTGTGGGGGATTCTCCACTAATGACATTCTTCAGACCTGATGAAGTGGAACTTCTTGTTTGTGGTAGCAAGGTTAGTGTGCCATGAAACCCATYGATTAATGTACTTTTTTAATACTTCATTTTACTGCTATCTTCTTTGGTATAGTACCCACTTTACACTCTATTCTATTGCATTCTATTTCGTTTCCTAAGTTTTGTTTTTCCTAAGTTATTTTTCACTTCTAGGAACTTGACTTCGAAGCTCTTGAGAGTGCTACAGACTATGATGGCGGCCTAACGAAGGATTCACCTTTAATCAAGTGAGTACATTATAGCGAATCTTCAGTCATACGCCATTAGGCAATCTAAGTATACTTATTTGACTGTTCAGGTGGTTCTGGGAAATTGTGCATAACTTCACCCTTGAACAAAAACGGCAACTRCTKATGTTTACTACTGGAAGTGACCGAGTACCTGTTGGAGGTCTGTCCAAAGTTAAACTGATCATCGCCAAAAATGGATCAGACTCTTTAAGGTATGTTTAACAGTAGAGGAGCTTCTTTTCACCATTGAAGTCATTACCATGCAGGGTCACGCTAAGCTTTCTTCTTCGACAAAACCGTATCGTTGCTTTGGTATCTTGTGGATGAGTGCAAGGTTTAAGCAAAAACCATATCAGCTTTTTATGTACAATTCCATTTACTAAAAAAATGCTATATTGTGTGTACCTGTAGAARAATTTTCTTTGGGAATATTTCCAAAAGTATTATCGTGTGTTTTTCTTCAAAATATCACTACTTCTGTTTTTGTTTTAAATTATTAAATTAAAAAAGCTTCTTTAGTCAGAAATGATTCGATTAAAAGATAAAATATAATATTTTCTTGTCTTTTGCTGAAGTTCTTGTGCGTGTTTAGAATAGAATCCTTATTGATGTCTGTTTTTTTTATCTTTTCCAGGTTACCTACAGCACATACTTGCTTCAACGTTTTATTGTTGCCCGAGTATTCGTCCAAGGAAAAGCTAGAAGAACGCTTACTGAAAGCCATTAATAATGCTAAGGGCTTTGGCTTATTGTAAATGCGTCGTATAGACTCTAACTGTACGGGGGTATGTTGATTGAATATCATGAACAAGWAGTGCAAGACTCAYTGATGTCGTCTTATCAAAGAGAAATTTTCTTGTTAGTTTCTTTTTTCCGATATGGATCGTTCGTCTTTCTTCCATATATGGGTTTAGATATAGTGTAAAAGAGATCGCCAAACTCATGCTTAGATAATTTTAAGTAGAGCTGGGTTTTAATCTTCTTTTTCCACATTATTTTCAGTTTAAGTTTATTATTCGAAAGCCAGTTTCTTAGGCCTTTTAATATGTACATCCATATATGGAGTCACGCGACAGATCCTTCTCCKTTTTCCATCCCTTGCTCCCACTGTTTCTTTTTTCTGTTCCCATTGTCATCTGCTGCCTTTCCGTATTCCACAATGCATGCTCCTTAAGCACATAGACGAGTTTTGATGGATCCCTTACCATGCTTTTATGTGCCAGATTCTTGTCTTCAACTTAACCGACTGCTATTTCACAAAACTTTAAAGTGATGACACAAAAATGTTGGAAATCATTGTCATCCATCCGTACTTACTGCAAAGGATAACAGTTGCTAACATTCCCACTTTTTTTCGAAAAGCTCACTGTTTATTTCGATGTCAAAACTTTACTAGCTTGGGTAAGCTATTTCGAAAAAGGTTTTTTAAATTGCCKTTATTAGTACTAATTTCGTTATTTTTTCCGATAACCGTTTTTGAAATAGCTATAAGTTTGGTGTGCTCGCGCGCTTTGTTTCCCGCGCTTTTCATAATGGCCGATATGGCCTGGAGACCAATCGTAGTATTGTAGTGGTATTATTTAACCGTGAAAACTTTAGGGCTGTTTTACACTGTGACATAAGCAGAAACCGAAGCAGAAGCTTGTCCACACTTGACAGAAGCATGTTCTTGTGCTTATGATGTCCCGGTTTGCACTCATAATCTTTCAACATAAGCAGAAAGAGAAGCAGAAGAAATTTTTCTGCTTCTGTTTTCCCCGGTTCACACATACAAAATACACTTCTTCTGCTTCTGCTTATGTCACAGTGTGAAGCGGCTGTTAGGCAATCCTGAGGAAGTAGACTACATATTAACGATTTTTAACATAGAAAAGAACGTTAGTGATGATCTAATCTTAATGAGAACTGGTAAATAGGTGTACTTTTCACGGCTCATTTTCCCAAATGAAATATTAAGACAGAGAAGGAGGCGATATTAAAGGCTACTTTCAGTGGGAACGAGATAGCGGCAAAGGGAGCGCAAAAGTATCAGCAAAAGAAAATTATTGAATGACAACTTTTGTTTAAAGTGGTCACACACGCTAAGCCTCGCAACAGAARTGTTAAGAAGTGCTAAATTTACAGGAAAGAATATCAAATACAAACCTTCAGTTAAGCTTGCTTCACCGCTGCTTCTGTCTCGTTCACCTTCACTTGCGAAAGTTCATTGGGACAACTTTGACAACAACTTTGATGTACTAGTTGGTTAAATAAAATCACTCGATTGAACGTAAAAGTAATTTTTGAAAACATTTCGTCTAAAACAAAAAGTACTTGGTCCGTCTTTAAGAAATTTGAAGTATTACAAAAATGTTAGGAAGGATTTCCACATTCAAACCAAGTGTAGGGCGAAGTCATTAAACCCGTGAAACAAAYATTAGACATGACACGTAATATCTATTTTACAGGTTTTTTGACTTCACTCTAATGCCGAGAACAGTTTAAAAAAGTGTAATGACAACTGGAAAGTATAAGATTAAAAAGTGGATATTTCTAATGTKTACTTTGTCTTATGAATATAAAAATCAAACCATTGTATACGCGATGTTTGCGTAGTTTTCTGCGACTTCATATTGGGCAAAGTTTTTCATCAATACAGATATTTTTATATAATTTATCAAAGTTTAATCTCCTCTCGCAGCCGTTATGAGGCTCGTTCCAAGGTGTAAGAGACTTATCTAAGTTAAAGGAGAAATTCTGTAGTTAATTTTGAGTCGCAGAAAAACCTCAAAATGRACCTGAAATCTCCAATGTCGCGATACAATGGTTTTCGCGGTAGTTATGGTTACTGAGGCAATATCATTTAATATCGACTCAAAACGTCATTTATAATTTAGGCGCAGCTCAACATGACCCACAATATTTAGCTGACCAAGCAATTAAGCGTTAGAGGAACGCTKCGAAATGAGGTTACATGTATACTAGACCAGCGTAGTGTATAACGATCAAGTACAATAAAGAACGCGCGTCATTTTGACCTTGCGATTAGAGTTCCAAAGCCTCTGATATAAAATGTTTATAGATGTATAATGCTAATACTCGTCCGCAAGACCACATGACTGGTCCACATAATATTCAGAATATTAGCCTTTCAATGACTGATAATTATTGCTACATACCACAGTTTATCGTAGATTTRGTCTTAGTATTTACTAAATAAAAGGAACACAAACGGTAGTCAAAGACCTTTCACAAAATATACTAAATATTTCACTGATACTGGCCATAGTTAATAGTTAATATTAACTATGTACTGGCAATTTCAAAAATTCTGTAACCGGTATTTGTGAAAATATTTTCTTGGTCAATTCAATTTTCTCTATAATATTCAAATAAACAAGTATGTAACCACAAGTTTTTGGCATCTGAATCTATGGGTGAAGYTGCATAATGCACGTTCATTATTCTTGACCGGACTATTTGTACATCGTTAGCTACATCACATTTCCTGAGTGTTCTATATATGAAAAGAAGAGCATCATTAACGAGTGTTAAAGCGCTCACGTTGCATAATTATCAAATCTTTCATGACTAACTAGCTGTAAAGATTTTATTACAGTACTAACACCTCATAAGTACTAATATCCAATGGGCTACAAATGCAGCCAATCACAGCACAGCGGTGAATGAATATATCCATTCAAATGGGACCCCATTTTAATGAAGGCTTTCAATTGACATTGAATAGTTAATCTCCCAGTATGAATTGTAGAACAAACAAAGGCACACATTCATCGAATTTGAACAATTATTACTGTGTTGACTTAGACCTACGCTAACAGACAATTTACACTGGTAAAGTTTACATTTTTTTAAACAATTTCTTCGTGTTTTTTGTTTACTAACAAACAAACAGACTCCTTGGAAATGTAGCCTGTTCAATAGCTAYTGATATAAAACTCAGGCTTGGCTAAACTGGTGAATATAATTCTGCAGAAGCTTGCGCTCGGAAGATTTGAAATTGTCAAAGCTTTAATTCTTTGTAAAAATGAGCTGGGGAAGGCACAAAGACTGGACAACAACAAGTAAGTATATTTAGAAATGTCTGAAGTCTTTAAATTCGCATTTTTTCATTCGGGCTTCATGTTGTCAATCTAACTTTTTATGTTTGTTTTTTGTTTTTAGTGCGAGAAGCACGGACTCGCTCAGTTCCTGCAAATTTGCCATCTAACTTGAAAGAATACTTCAATAAATCAATAAAAACTGAAGCAAACCATTCGAGGTATGTACTAAGTTTTAATATGTAAAAGAGTACAATTTTAGGCTTTGGAAATATCATACTAGCATAGCAACGGATGGTAAGTCCCATCGGCATCAASCAGAGTCCACGCCGCAAGTGTCCAGGGACCAGGTGCAACGAAGCACAATTACAATGAATACATTACTATTTAGAAAGTTAAAAGTTAATTTTTGTAGATATTGAAAAGATTAAACGTAATGATAACCTCCTAGCAAAGTATTTTAAAGACAACTGATCTCTAGAAAAAGCTATGTGGACAAACTCCTTTTTCTAACCTTCATGAGTTGGTCCACGCTCGATCGAGAAGATGTTCGCCGTAACTCAGTTATATATTGGATGTTACAATTTTTTWATAGTCAAAACAAGAAATCATTCTGGATTATATTAAATGTAATGAAATTGTTTGAAATATGGAACTGAAATGACCACGTTTAAAGAAATGCTTAAGAAAGTTGTGTTCACTTTGTTTGACCTTTTGTTTAAATATGGAACTGAGTAACCAGSTTTAAAGAAATTTTTGGCGCGTTTAAGAAAGTTTTGTTGACTTTTGATTCTTTCATTTTTGCGCTTGTTCGCTTTCATACATTTTTAATGCTTTGCTCTTATCGAGGGTCGGGGTATTTTTTGACTMGCTGGGTTTTGTTTTCTGTTTTGTTTTTCGTTTTAATTATTCGTTCGTTTCTTGTTTGTTGTATGTATCTTGGCTTTCTTGTCGATATTTGTTTTGCTTTGGCAGAAGTACATACATACGTGGTTATGTACTTCTGGCTTTGGCCTTGTTTTTATTCGGACTATGCTTGATCATAATTCACCTTATGGTTCAACACGCAGCTATAGGAGGAGCCGGTGAACTGATCTGTTCTTCTGAAAACAAAAATGTTTTTATAAGACRTTTTTTCCTGGGAATGTATTTCTGAATGATTTTCAAAAAGCGTTTTCCCGGGATATATGGTTAAACAAGTTGGGAGTATTTTTGATTGTTCAAGGCAAGGCAACTTTATTGAAGATTACGCAAGATTTGCTATCTGAGAAATTGTCAGTCRACTTTTAACGCWTGTTCGATTTCAAATATTTGTGTTGTKGTGTTTGTTCTGAGGGTCGTGGGTTCTTAGTTTAGTTCCGTTTGTTTTTTACTTGATTGTATTTTTATATTTTTATCTACTTAAGATTAAGCCCGGGGAGGAGGGGGRCGTAAAAGGACAAGGAATGAATCTCAATCTTAGTGCACTATCGTTCTGATTCGACGTTTTCATCAAATAGTTTAATACCCTGAGCGGAAAAAGTCGAAACTTTGTTATTCTCTAAGTSATAACCTATATTTTTCATCTTGTGTTCTAGACCGAGCTCCACCACTTGTGAACATCCACATGGATCAACGTATCAGGCCGAGAATGGTCGAGTTCGAGATCGACGGAGGGAAGCATTTCTTCACGTCAGTAGAAATAACCCACACCCGTTTAGAATCCACTTTCCCTTCCAGACCGGCGACAGGGTTAGTCACATATCATTTCTCATTTCTATATCGAACATCTAGAACGTATTTAAATAAATATTTACACAGATTGATCATTTTTTTTTATAGTTGAGTACCTATATGGTATGGCTACCAATGGAAAGAAATATCGACGCTACTCCTTCCCTGCCAAAGATTCACAACCCAAATAAGTCACGTGCTCTGCCCTTTGGTAACAATGGAAACGCTCACACCAAGAAACTATCCGAAAAATACAATAATCCTAGCACACCTTTATCTACCTACCAAGCTGAGATCGCTAGTATTCCTTTACTCAAACACAGAGGTAACAACGGGTCGCGATTGTTCATATAAATTTCGAATGGCGGCAAGACGTAGAAAAATTGTGATAAAGCGGAGAAAGCGGAATTTAGTGAACAGAGAAGGGGCGAATGTTTTGGGGATATTCCCCCATGTAAATATGCTTTGACGTCATAGTGAAATAGGTTAGAATGAAGAACTGTCTTTGATAAACTGAGAAATAACGTGGCCGGCATTGCCGCTTCTCAATGGAGAAAGCGCACAAGCTAAAATTCGACATGAATGTGCCCAATCAGTTCATAAATTGATAATTAATAATAGGTTGTTTGCATGAAACGGTCACATGGTACCGTACTAAATCCGCCATTCGAAAGAATGTAAACAACCTCAAAAACAAAAGGAACGTAGCACGCCAAGCTTGACTTTTCTTTGTTTTGATTATCCCATTGGGAATTTTGACCTACAGAATGGCGAATTCACTGCTATGTTCATTAAAAGTTTCACACTAATAATCGCATTTTGTTTTATCCACAGTTATGTCTGACCATTTTCCAAGTCTTTCCAAAGGAAGGAGTCTAGTTTATGCTGGTCATTAGTGAATGGATCCATTTCTTATCGAAATCATAATTGCAAATAAAAAATATCAAGTGGATAACTAGGGTTTAGCAATTTTGACGTAAAATTTAATTTAGACTATAAAAATTGTGGTAAGAAATGGATGTGGTTGACGTCATTTCCAGTTTCTGGTACAGGAGACCCAAACCAGGCTTTTTGATACATTTGGACCCACATATACGCCACTTATATTTACMCTTTTTTAAGTTAATYAAGCAGCCTCATATAATTTGCGACAGCCTARTCAGTAGTTTTAAATTGAARCTRTTGAACCTACATATGCACTTTAAGGAGCATGYCCAACGGATGATGGCTCTTTGWCSTTATGATGCTTGCTATGCTYGTTTTTTGAGAAATGCATCATGGTATTGATAAAGTATCAAAGATGGCGCCCGTCTTATGGAAACTACTAAGGACGAAATATCATTGAAATTTAAAGTTACATCTGTCAAGAACACTTTTGAAGAAAAATGCTACATGTAGTGCTTGTACGTTTACTCAAAGATCTGAATGTCTGGAAAATAAATAATGGTTTGCTTCGGTTTGTTATTTCGTCAATCCCATGGTGCATATGGTTGAACACCAACATGCCCTGAAAGGTTTTCAAGTGAGAAATCGTTATTTTATAAAAGCATTAGAAGATTTTTCCGTGTTTACATTCTTTGTATGGAAACACTTGCGGGATTGTTGGAAGAACAATCAAAAAGTTTTTTTCGAAATGCATTTTTTTTTCGTGTTATMACCTCCCTAACAGTCCATTAACTGTCTTGCGGGCGACTTTTGTAGAGCAACTGGTTGTAAACAATATCTGAAATAAATAAAATTGGCAGTGTTGTAATAAAYATTTTTTTGTCTTGCATTTAGTATAGATAAAAGTAAAATATCGTTGAATCTTCTCGTTGAATTTCCGCTACCATTAATAGTATCCAAGTATACTATGTGGGCTATGGTTATTCTGATTATGATTGACTACTTAACAATTAGACCTCGAGGTCGAGTGGACTACTATACACTTAATGACTGTTCCCAAGGGAAACAAAAACTAACCGTTTCCCGATGGAACGGTCATTAAGTGTTTTGTTATATTGGTAAATTATGTGAATAAAAATAAATCAAAACACATTGCAAGATGATTTCCAATAATACTTTATTGTGAATATAATAACTGTGAACGTCGCGACAAAATAGCAAGATGTTGAGCGTTTAGATTACTGCATTGTGCTTGAAAATAAAAATAATATAAATATACAAATGCCAAAAAACTAGTAAAACTTTATGAATGAAACAGTCAATGAGTTCTTGAATAGAAATTTAACGTGACATTTGTCCAAATTCCCCGTTTCTCTCTTGTTTTCTCTGCAGAATTCTATCAGAGTCGTAGCCACAGCAGTCCAGTTTGTAGCTTTGTTGGTGTTTTCCGAGTCTTTGTTGACAACCATTTCGTCTATTTCTTGACTAAGATTTGAAAATCTTTTTGATGCCGGCTCCATTTTGTAAACAGTCGAAAGCAGCAATATCTTTAAATTTATAATTTATAATTTATTTATTTTGATTTTCCCGCGAGTGGTCTATCACAAACTAGACCATTAGTAGTAACCAATCACAGCACAGTATGAGTGATAGACCATTAAATATGTTTATACTAATATAATACCGAAGTGCAGCCTCATGTACTATCAACTCGTAGTCCACTCCACTTCGTGGTCAAATTGTTAATCATTCGATGCATAATTGATAGCCAGATCGAGAAAAACCAATGTTAACATGGTGACTTCGAATATCCATTCGCAATCCGCTTCCATCCATTGGTTTAAAGGTCGAATCTTGTAGTATCTCCATTCATATAGTATAAAGAGAAATAAAGAGTAAGGTTTTTGCTGATATTACGATGTCCTTTATTTTCAAACATAAGCAAAAGCTCGAAAAGGATGCTGGTGGACCATGTCCCTTAATTTAAGAAATAGGTCTTCTAAAATAACATTGTATCTCATTAAAAATATCGTAAAATACTTTCAATATATGATAAAAACCTAATTATCAATTTATGCGCCTCTAGCATTCCAAATTCTTATCCACAGAACGAGATCTTGTAAGATGTATTCTGAGCTCTTTACCATCAAACAATATTTATTAACGCTTGTAGTGCATGTTTTGATCGTTTTCAGCCAATCCCATGAGATTAAAAAGATAAAAGACCGGCGGCTATGTTGGCCGCTGTGACGTATTAGTGAAAACAAAGAAATCAGTCTCGGCTTCACCTCGAGTCCACTACACAAGAGGCTGGGGCCTGGTGTGGAACGCATTCATCGATAAGACAATATCTCTTGGATAGTTCATTAGTTCATTGGTAACTACATAAAAATCAGACTRTGTAGAATATTTAAAGGAATTTAAAAATGTCGGAAAAGTTCTCTGGTCTTTTGTCACGTTATGGCCTTGGCCAATCCGGCATTGGTGGTTTAAATTACGTGAACATTGTCATACCTCTTTTACATGAAGGCCGTTAATGTAGTGCGGTCCTAATTAAGCAAACATTAAGTAAAAAAATCACTCCATGATCAAGATTAACGAATTTTGTAACACGTTTAAAGTTCCTTTTTTATCGAAGAAATGTATGATAGATTGCTGGAATGTCTTTATATATGAAAATCACTTGCAGCTACTCTTAGAGGTCCATTTATTTTGTTTCTGTTGATGTTCTGCTTGCTCTTGCTTTTCTTGCTCTTCAGGCTGGACTGCAGATGTTTGTTCTTGGTCTCCTTGCTGTATTGAGCGTCCTTACGATCACTGCTTGTTCATGGTCTTCTAGCATTTCAGGTTGCGTTACCGCTTCTTGCACTTGCTCTTTTTGCTGCACGTTGTTAGGTTCTTCAGCTTTTACAGTAAGATTGAACGTTTTTTCTCTGGCGGTAGGCTGTTATTTGCACTTTAGCTGTGAAATACGCTATGACAAGGAAGGYAATGCCCGCAAAAATGAGGCCTGGAATTTTGGTCAGYGATTTTGAATCATTTACTTGGATTTTAGTGACCAATGAAGTGCTTGGTAAAGATAACCAAACAATAGGTATTCCAATGTTTGTAAGTTAGTTTGGTTCTGTAAATTCATAGTAGTGCTCTATTGCAACATACCTCTCAATGCTCACCATCATTAAAGTACACAAAGTGCATATCGTAAAGCTGGAGTGAGCTGGAGTACAGACTAACAATACTATATAGACACTTTACCTTGCAATGCCCTAGACGGCATATCGTAACCAAAATAAACATGGTTCTATGAGAAGGCCAACTTGGAGCTCGGTGAAGGCCAGAGCAGGTAGCAGAAGGAAATATGTTTTGGTTCGAACACTTTCTTTTTCCAAAATCGTCCAGATAATCAGCAGGTTAAGTATGAAGGTCGGCATTGGAAAGGCGATACCATTCACAACTACGAGGAATATTCGGGTGGGTTGAACAGAATCTGGTAAGCTGCTTGTAGTTTATATATATTCATCGTGAAATTTTGTTAACAGACAAGCGGAGGTRTATATAGCTATTGGTAGAATTGGTCAACATGGCTAGGTAAAATGAACTCTCTTACTAGAGAAGGACAAGCCAAAATATTCGGTAAAGAGAAGCTATTTTGCTTTGAATTCACTGAATGACATTTTTCATCACTTTTAATAATAAATTGTAAAACGAATTGTTTCATGTAGTTTAATTGAAGTAATTGTTTTGCTTTCCACCATATCCTACATACAGATCCCATCCCTAATACAACATTTTCACCAATCCCCAACAGAATATAGACTCTGACCTACTTTCGTTTCCCCAAAATAGGTTGTCCATCTTTAAAGGACTCGGTTCAGATATGGTGGAAAGGAAGGTGGAAAATGAAAGCTCTGCAAGGCTTCATTATTTCCTTTAATTTTTGGCTCTTTTTTAAGATATGCACAAATGGTTACACGTACCCAATAAAGGAACTTYTTTTTCCCTTTTTTTAAAGATTGATGTCCCCAAAGATTAGGGAATTTAATGAGACATCTGTAGCTACAACATTTTTTTGAAATTTAAGTAATTTTGAAATTTCATTTTTTAGTTGAAGCCCCTTTTAAACTGAAAATCCAATTAGAAAACTATGCACTCGCTTTATWGATGCACTCTTTAATAGTTATTTTTTTTTAAGTTTCTATACAAAATTTGGCCTAATTATGTAAAACCTCTATCAAGCTCTATTAAACCTCTTTAATAACGGTCACTTGAGTGACCATTAATAGAGCTTCAACTGTATTTCCCATTTGACTTTCATTGGGTTTCCTGCGCACTTCAACAAGGGTGGATCCAGGGAGGGGCAAAAGTGGGCTGTAGCCACTCCTTTGAGCATAAAAAGTAACCTTTTTATTATTTTCACTGTTGTTTATAACAAATAAAACCCATTTAGCCCCCCCTTAAAACCATTTARCCCCTCCCCCCTTTCCTCCTTAAAACTTCAGCTGGATCTGCCCTTGTCTCAGTGCGGTTTCTTACTAAAGCAGTATTCTCTGTATAACAACGATCGACCTGTATAACCATAACCATATCTGCATTTTTGGTACAATCAAATACCTTTGGAAAAGCTTTTGCAGCTGTTTATAAACGATTATAGCATATAAGAATAAATATTTGACAATGTTTGGGTTTTTGGGAAACATTTTAATTAACTCTTGGGAAAACTAGTTTACATCATCCTCGATGTAATGGACGTGATGTGCTTCTTCGTAAAAACAGGAAAATACATGATGGCTATAACAGGATAAAAAGAAACACTTTTTTGTCATGAATGGATTATTCCAGCTTCTAGTAAACAACAATAATTATTATATACGATAAATAATCTCTTATAAATTTTGATTGTGATCAATTTTGACATCATACTCTCATAAATATTACAGATATTTTGTTTGGTGCAAGGGGATTGAAATGTGTTCCTGCGTACATTTTCTTGTGTCTCATTCTCAGGAATACTTGATAAGTGAATTTAGTGYAGAGTATTTAAAAGTTTTGAGTTCGTGTACTATTATGGCACCAAATGAGGTATCTTCATATGTTCATCAGTCAGTTATTTTGCGGAGAATAGTACAGTTTACACGYATTTCAATCTAATATCTACAAAGTGCCTGACTATTAAGAACATTGGGCGGTTATACAAAGGTGAAAAGTGCTATCCATCAACTTTATCCACCCTTCACACAACCGGCCCTAAATGTGTGATATGCATTATACAGCATGTATAGCTACTTGYGTAGGATCTGCACAGGTGAATTCTTCTACAGTTGGGCACAAGGTGTCGATTATTCTCAATATTTCTGATATTGATAACCTTTCTTGTGGATCTACTTGCAGAATGCTTCGAATCAGGATATTAAAATCTGAAGAGTAWTGACTGGCAAAGAAAGTATATATTAGTTAAAAAAGGACAATATCATATAACAT